GCCTGCATCTCAAGCACAAGGTCCTGAGTTCAATCCCCTGGACCAAAAAAAAAAAAAAATTCAGATAATGAAAGGAAAGAAGAGCTACTGGTCTTTGGGAAGTGGAAAATGTATTGCCCCTGTTGACTGAAACAGATAATCTAATAATTAGATTGTAATTAACAGAGAAAGCGAGAAATGTGTGGTACAATTACTAAGAAGTTGAGGAGAGTTGAGTGGTATGATAAAAGCTGAATCCCTTCAAAACAGGATGCTGGTACCCAGACTAAAGTGGATAACTTAAGAATGAGGAGTAGAGCTCCGAAGAGCTGGAGAGGACCGGAAGAATCAGTGTCCTCATGCACAGTGGTTGCAGTTGGAAAGAGGCAGGGTACAGGAGCGTTCATTATTTCCTCATGTATGTAGTACAGGGGGCATTTGTGTGTTTAGAAAAGTTAGGTTTGTGTAACTTGTTTTGTGACAGCAAGCTTAGTAACTTGGTCTTGTGCTGACCTTTGTGCTATGTCATTGTCTTTGACTCCTGTTTCATTGTGTGGCAGCAGACATACCTAGGAAATGGAGCCATAGGTGGACATGAAAGTGTGGTCGTTTCATTCTCAGTGGTCCCTGAGCCCCCATAACAGAATCATCTGAGGAGGTTGTTTAAAATTCAGACCTTTAATGTAAATGTTTTCCAGGAATCTGCATTTAACCAAGTGTCCTGCGAAGTTTTTTTCTGGCCTTCAGAAGAAAGTAGATTAACAGGCTCCGGGAAACTGCTTACTGTGTCTGTACTGTGTGCCAGAAACAAACTCTGCCTTCCTCCTCCCACAGATGGTGCCTGGAGCTGGCTCTGTGCCTGCTATCCAGAGAATCCCGCTGCCTGGGGCGGAGATGCTCGAGGAAGAGCCCCTCTATGTGAACGCCAAGCAGTACCACCGTATTCTGAAGAGAAGGCAGGCCCGAGCTAAGCTAGAGGCAGAAGGGAAAATTCCAAAGGAAAGAAGGGTATGTGTAATCCTGAGGACCCAGGAAGAGAGCGACAGGGTTCTGCTTCTGAGACTACCTTTCAATTCACATGGTTTGTTTCCTAGAGTGCTTTCCAAACAGCTGAAGTTCGAGTTAAAAGAGTTAGCATATTGTTATTGTAACTTCAGCTACAGCAACCAGAAAAAACAGCAGTTTAAACCAGGATTTTTTTTTTCTTATAGTAAAGAATTCTATAGATAAATTGTCCTGGGCTGCTAGCACATTTCTGTAGTTCTGAAGACCTGTCCTCCTCCTGTCATAGTCCATGCTGCTTGGGCTCTTGCCTAGGTGCACCCTTGAGCAGTGGCGTGTATCTTACTGGCCAGAATTCAGTCACCTGCCCACAACCTACCTCCAGATAAGGTTAGGAGATGCAGACTTTTTGCCCAACAGCCATTTATTTGCCCAGCTCAAACTTGGTCTGCTGTTAAGCAAAAGAGAATAGGCAGTGGGTAGATACTGCTATACTTTGTAGTCAGCATTCCCATTCTTATAGTAGTCATATATGATTAGCTGCTGTCTTATTCACTGACTAGATAAGTGTTTCCTCCATAATTCAAAGTCTTCATTATCCCTGCTTTGATCACAACTGTCTTAAACATTGACAAGTAAAATTCTTACACTCGCTAACTTGGTTCTGACAAGTCCCTGAGTGGCTGTACTTTTGTTTCTAGAAATACCTACACGAGTCCCGGCACCGTCATGCCATGGCCCGGAAACGTGGTGAAGGTGGGCGCTTCTTCTCTCCCAAGGAAAAAGACAGTCCCCACATGCAGGTAAGGAAATGGCCCCTCCGCCTCATCGTTGCTGTGTGCCCTGCAGAGGGGAAGCCTCAGCAGTGTCCCTGTGTTTTCACACTCAGAGCCCAGTCACGTTCTCTAAACAGAGTGCAATGTTGTTATTCTGAGTTATTCTTTAATCTTAAAAGCACTGAAAGACTTTAATTCACTGGTCTCTCTCGCCTTCTCGTTTTCCCCAATGATTACTGTGAATTCCTTCTTGACATTCTTTGCTTATTTCAATTATTTATTGTCTTCTTGTAATAGTGACAGCGCAGTCAACACTGTTAAGCACTTGGATGAGCCTTTTTGCTTTCTCTTGAATGTCTCACAGTATCCTTAAGCTCCATGAGATATGAATTATCTATCATCATGGTTCTAGAATTGAATCTAGGGTTTTGAGAATTAATTTGCCTACAGTAAAAAACCTGATAAAATGGTCAATTGAAATTCAAACCTAGATAATACCATTCCACAGTTTATGCTGTGAGGTCTATATTGGTTCATACACATCTAATTCCAGTAGTTATCTTACAGGTATTTCCGTCCAAAACAGAACTCTTGTATTATTTATTACAACTCTTATATTTATTTATTACACGTAAACCAGTCACTCGTCTCAACAGGTGACATGTCCCTCCAGCCAGTTGCTAAAGCTCAAATAGCCCAATTGTTGAAGAAGTCCTCTTTTACCTCCAGAATATGATTAGACTTGGTTTTTCTCCCTCCCAGTTGACAGCAGTCTAATCTAGTCCTCTTTTCTTTGGTTTGGGTTGATAAAATAGTTGCCTGCCTGGTCTTCCTCCATCTACTGCTGTTCTCTCGTCATAGTCCCCACATCTGTGGGCTTTTAAGCACACCCCATAGTGCATCACTGTCCTGCTTGAGCCTCTTTCACCCCACCCTGTGCTGTGTGCACTTCCTGAAATCCAGAGTCCTGCCAGGCCAGCCAGGCCCTGTGCTCCAGCTCCTGCTGATCTCTAGCTTCATTTCCTCTTGCTTCTTGATCTCTGTTCTGCTTGTCTTCTAGTCCAGTATTTTCACATGATGTCTTCTTTGGAGTATAACAACCATCAGATTGTTTCATTTGTCTGATTGTTCAAGAGTTTTTCCCATTTGAATATAAGTTATGTAGAGGGTCGAGGATTTTGTCCTCTGTTGTATTTGTTGGACTTAGCATTAAGTAGTGACCAGTTCTGAACACGTAATCAGTTTATGGCATTAATGAATTCCTCCCATTTTCTAACTCGATTGTGTGTGAACACATTCCACCGCACTGTCACCATGTCCCTGAATCGGTCTCCAGTCTCCTCATTGACTTTCAGCAGCACTTACTGCCAGATCTCTCTTCCTAAGGTAGTGTGGTTTTCATCATTTCAGTCCCCTTCCCGAGGAGGCAGGATTTCTGTGTCATTTCTAAGCCAGTGTCTCATTCCCCTCTCAGCAGTTAGACGAGGTTTCCTGGGCGTCCCCACACAGGAGCACTCACGACTTGATCAGCGTTGTCAGTCCTCAGCCGTGGTGTGAGAGCCCCTCTCTCCCTGTCTTCAGTCCCACATCATGTGAGCGTGGGCTGCCGGCTGAGAACTCTAACTTTAGGTGCCAGCACTGTGACCCTGGTTGTGTTACTCAGCCTGTGACAGCCAGTTTCATCTGCAGAGCAGAAAGCTGTTAGATGCCTCACGGGGATGTTACGGGACTTCGTGCAAGAGTGTACACTAGGTACCTGTTGGTGCTGTACGGGGTGCAGGATGGGTGCACAGTCGAGACCCAGCTCCAGGCCTGGCACCCCCGGAGTGTCACAGCTTGTTCCTGGATCTTGCCTGCTGAAGCTTCAGTCTAGGGGAGGAGACCTAAGGGAGTTTCATGTGGAGCATTGCAGAAAGCTTCCCAGTGATCCTAGCTCTGTAGGTCTTCGGTGAGAAGCAACACCCAGAGTGCAGTGGGAAAACTAAATGGGAGCCAGAAGATTTAGGAGTGAACTCTTGCTGGGCTCCTGACTTTCTGGCTGTAGTGCAAGCAAATCATTGCCCATTCAAGCTTCTGGTTTATCGGCCAAATGATTGCATTAAATTATGTAGACCTCTAGTGCTTTTTCCAACCCTGCTAAACACTCAGGATTTAAATGTGACGATCAGGGCCAGGGATTTAGCTCAGTGGTTCCACTGCCTGCCTTGCAAGCAAAAGGTTCCGCGTTTGATCCCCAGTACCAAAAAAAAAATAAAAATAAATGTGACAATCAGAAAATCATGACCCAAAAGCACAGCCTGTTGTCGTGGTTTCTCTGAGTCTTTCTCTTAGCCATCTGAGCACTCTTTACGAGTAGAGCACAACCCATGGTGTGTAGGGAACAGGTAACACTATCGCTCTGGAGTGTGGGATGATGGAAGGCCGGGCTTTAAATGCTTTTAAGGGAAAAGGTTTATCTTCTTTCCTAATGGAACTGCATATTAAACCTCAGACTTGGAGCTGGATGTGTTACAGGACTTTGGTTTACTTCGAGAAGTTGTTTTCCCTTGAGGATACAGCGTGAGAGCCATCAGTTCCCTGATGCTTTTGCAGAGGGCTTTAATCATTATTATGCTGTCTTTATCTCCAGGATGCAAACCAAGCTGACGAAGAAGCGATGACGCAGATCATCCGAGTGTCCTAACCCCACTCAGGCGACACAATGGAGCTGATCAAGGTCGTGTTCCTTGCCTTTCCCACTGTTCCAGGAAAGTGATCAACTCTTCCGATGGGACACTAACGATCATATGCTGCCCTTTCCTACAGGACAGAAACCACTTAGTTTTTAATAAGTGGCTCGGTATTACAATTGCAGCAGTGTCTGGGAAATTGAAGTTGCCAGCCTTTGTCTCACCCTTTCAGTCAGGACCTGCTTCCAGCTGTTGAAGCCATTGACATTTCATGAATTACAATGATAGAAGGAGACAGTTGCCGGCCCAGCGGTACACAAGCACTTACGTGAGCTAGCGGAGCCAGCCAGCCATCTCTGCAGAGAAGAGCGCCCTTCTGCACCAGACTGTGACGGGGGAGCCAAAGTCCTCTCCTTCCCCGGACTCTAGATGCACCCCCTCCCCCAGGGGGATCTCAGGCTGACTGATTGAATGAATAGACACTTCGAAGTCAGAGATGGCTTCCCACAAGGAAGCTCCAGATTGTGACAGAAACAATAAATTGTTGGAGTTAACAGTCACCTGCTCCGTGGTAGTAAGAATCTCTATCTGCCCAGATGTTGGGTTGATGTTTAAGACACAGCACCTAAACATATTGTGGATTTTTTGTGTGTGTGTGCGCTTTTCTTTTCCCTCTGTTGGCAGATCAGTTGAACTATAGTTCTTGATGTGGCTGTTTTTAAGACAGTTTGGGGGGTATTGGGCCTTGAAACAGTCTTCCTAAGTAGAAAACAAACTGTCCCGCAGCCCCTGTGCAGAAGTGCAGAGGACATATGTCGTAACTCTCAAACAGAGACATGGTAGAAATTTTTAGTCATAGATTTTGTGACAGTGCTTGGGGACTAGGACGTTCATGTGTCTCTCAAGGAGGAACAGCCACCCATGTGTTGACACCATGCTTCTACAGCAGATAGATAGCGTGGGTGAATCACTAAGATGAAAAGATTTGCCTCTCTTTACATTTAAACCTCTTCACCAGGCACTGACAGGAGAAGTCCTATTCGGTCCTTGGATTCTGGAAAGCACTGTTCACGCACACTGTCCTGGGCAGAGTCCAGGTTACCTGCATGACCCTTAAGTGTGGGTGCTGGCTCCTTCTGCAGCACTTTGTGCTGGCTCAAAGCTGGCACCAGAGCGCGATCACTCTTCCTCGCACTTCCTGTGGCGGCTGATTCTCGGGTGTCATTGCTTTCATTTTCCGGGAAGTTTTCCCATGGCACCCACACTGCAGGAGTAAATTGCAGACTGGAAATAGAGAGGCCCGTGGGGCCAGAAAACAAGCCACTGCTCCCAGGATGGGACGGGCCTCAGAAATCTGTCTTCTAAATGTCAAATCCTGGGGGAGAGAACCAAGGTGATACTTCAGAAGAGTTGGCTGTTTTCTCTAGAAACAAGGAAAACATCAGTTACGAAGAGCATCAGGGGTTGGTTAAATACCAAGAGTAAAGATAGGTCCTCTTTGACTTCACTCTTAACTGTGTTAAGACAGAAAAGACATCATAAACTACCACTGTAATGGCAGAAATAGAAGTGTAGATCTATGCAAAATTGCAAGTGAAATACCTTCCTCCTCATCCTGGGAGTCTGATCATTTCTAGCTTCCAGTTGTGCAAGGGGTTGACTCGGTAAGCTCACTAGAAACTTCCAGGACTTGATAGGAGTTTCAGATACTACTAAAAATATCGAATTTATTTCTCTTGGTTAGTTGAGGAATCTAAGATGAAAAGTTCAGAAAGATTTCTGAGACCTGGTTTCTAGTGCTTATGACAGTTCTGAAATCCTATTTATTTGTAGATGTAAGTTTGTATATAGTAAACCTCACGTTGCTGAAGTTTTCATCTTGGGGGACAAGTTTGAATTTTGTTTTGAAATGAAATGCTTCGGTTGTCATTTTGTCCCTGCATTTCAGTTAACTCACGATCCTTTTTATTGTGGATTTTAGCACACCGCAGTAGCCCACAAGGTTGGGGCTAGGAGGTGACTTTGATTTTTCTTTACTAGTTCTATTACTCCTTTGCCTTTGTGGCTGTAGTGATGACCTCAAAGATGCAGAGTGAATGGATAAATGAATCGGTCTACTGCATAGTTGTCACTTTTTTGCAGGATGACTAAATGTATATATTTTAATTGCACTGGTACATGGAACAGGTCCATGTCTGTACCACTGGACCAACAGTGTTTTCTGGCTACAGGGTGCCCCATCATAACGCCTTGATTTTCCTTTGGGACTCAGCTATATGGCCCCGGCAGAAGGGGGGATCCAGGTGATCAATCATTGATGTCATTGCAATTGTTATTTTTTAAAATAAATTTATAATACTAAAAAATTACTTGACTTTTTTTTTTTTGGTATCGGGGATCAAACTCAGGACCTTGCATTTGCCGAGCAGACTCGGAGACACTGAGCTAAATCCCTGGCCCAAAAATGACTTGACTTTTGAGTATGCATCTCCTGCCTACTGGGTTATGTTTGTAATGTTGATACTCTAGCTTCCGGCGCTGAAGTCTCTTTATAATGTTGACATGTAACCCTTTGTCAGTCAAATTCAGGGTGTCTGGGCCTTTTGACTTCATCTGGCACAGAATCTCTTCTCCCTCCCTTTCCGCCTTCCCACTCTGCTGAGGATTTTGACACCAGTGGGCTGATCGGGAAGTGTTTCTCAACGTGATGAAGTAATTCCCTGAGCACTTTCCTTATCACCAAAACAGTCTTTATTGGGTGTTGGAAAGTGAAGATACTTTAGATTTTGCTTTCATTTCCACAGCCAACACATAGCACTTTCCTGATCATATAACTCCACAGCGTGCTCATCCTGTTGCAGCATTAGGGTCTCCAGGAATCTGGGTGCGAAGACACCTCCCATGTGCAGTTCCCCGGGGAGTCCTGGAACCAGGAGCCAGCGTCAGATGAGGCTCCGCAAGTCTTTGCTCTCGGATAGAAGAAACTCCCTAACGAGGAGAAAGGACTTGCACTGGTCAGATTATTCCAACAGAACGTGTCCCTGCGGAGCGCAGAGACGACCGTCGCACTTACTGTTGTTTACCCCCAGATGATCTGCTTTATCCTGGAAGCATCTTCGTCTCCACGTGGAAGTAGAGTCAAAGTTGTCAGTTCTGGTCCTTAGCGCCATCCTTCGCCTTCTGCGCCCAAGGGCCCAGCTCCGCAGAGGGCTTGGGAAGTGGTTGGAGGCGGGGCCCCAAGAGGGCCTGCGTGGATTGGCTGGTGTGCGGGCCCCGCCAGGACCGCCGATGCAGATTGGCTGCCATCTGGGCAGCCCCGCCTGGCGACCGCAGAGCATGCGGCGAAAGTGCTTCCCAGTCTGCGGGCGCCATTCAGGAGCCCAAGACCAGAACCACGTTGGCCCGGGCCCAGGCGACCTCCTCTGCATCCCGGTGCAGGGGCAAGGTGAATGTGAAGATGGATAATGTGAGGTGCCTCTCCTTATGCTTTCTCCTTTAGGCTTTACTCTGTTCCTCCTGTCGGCGTTTTCTCTTTTTTTATTGTTTTGAGTCAGGATCTTGCTATGTAGCCCAGGCTGGCCTCGAACTCTTGATGATCCTCCTGCCTCAGCTTCCCATGTGCAGGGTTTATAGCCGTGCACCACCACGCCCAGCCTTCTCTCCCTCACAAGGAACACATAAAGTGCTTTGGCCAGAAGCGGGAGAGGGTGGGAGACAAAGGCACCTGTCTGAAGAGGAGAGGGGCTCCGTGACCAGCTCGGCCCTGAGTGCTTTGCGGGTAACACTGGGTCACCAGCTTAATCAGCTTGAAGGGATCTAATTCCTTCAGATTCGCCTGATGGGTGGAGGGAGGAGGGCTGAAAAGCAAGCCTTGGAGTTAACAGTAACTTTTGCTCTGTTGGTCAGGGTTTGGGACAAGTTCAGCCTGAGCTGCAGCTGAGAACATGACAGGGGCAAACTAGCCCAGCTCTTCAGCTGGTAGTGGCATGGGGGGAGCAGGGTGTGGTGCCGGCTTTATGAGAAGGGAGCCTGGGGTCCTTTTAAAGGGTCACTTAAAAGTCATTCCTTTCCCATCAACTGTGGTTCTATCAGGTTGCTACTGACAGGCTAGTTCTTCCCTTGTGCTGTATTTGCTATTCTACAAGCCTGAGTCCTGTGTGCTCAATGTTCAGAAAAGGGAGAAAACGCTACTTTCAGTTTTTACCTTGCATGTTTATATTTTTTCAAAATAAAGTGTTCCTCGAATTGTGCCTTCTAATAATGTGCCATTTTATAGATCTCCTTTCCATTCTGCTATTCCGCTTGATCCTATGAGGAAAGCGTTGGCTATTTTCTTATATGTATTAAGCTTTTGGATATTTGCCTGATCTAGCAAAAAAAAAAAACCTCCTTATTTGTGCAGTAAACATTTGGAGTACCTACTCAGTGATGTGCACTGTAATAGGTTCACAGAAAAGAAGCACCCACGTGAGCTTTTGAGTTAGCCCGACCCAGCAGAAACTACCCTGACACTGTACCTTTCACTACCTCAATGATATTCTCAGCCTTTACTGACAACACCCCTTACCATTACGTCCATGTCCTGAGATTCACTGGAATAATTACTTTGTGGCATCTCCTCAACTTGATTATTTGACTCTCTGCTCACCCTTCAATAAATATCAAAGGTCTCCCACTTTCAGAGGAAGGAGATAAAATTATGGTGTATGCATTGCAATATCAAACTACTGGGTGGTAGAAATACAGGGGCTGAAAAAAAAATACAAAGGTTGCCCTCGTGAGGTTTCATTTTACTAAGGGAGACAGATAATAAGTAAATAAAATGATCATAGATTATATCCTCTATTAAGGATATTAACTGCAGTAAAGATATAATTGTAGGATGAGGAGTTTTTCTAAGTCAAGCTAGCCGTAGGAGGCTCAGAAGAAGAGTTCTTGAAGCTGGGACATGAATGGTGAGGTGAAAAGGGCATGAAGAGCTAAAGGTGAAGCATTTCCGGTAGAAGAACACTCACGGGACAGGAGAGAGCATGGTGTGACCTGGGGGATGACAAGCCCCGAGCAGCCAGGAGGGAGGCTAGCAGGGTGAGGAGGGGCAGCTACCAGATCATCCAGCTCAACAGAAAAGTGGATTATTTAGCCAATTCTTTTTTTATTTTCTGGGAAGGTAGCAGAAATTGGAGCTGATAGCAAAAAAGATATGGTAGAGTAGGAAATGGGTGGAATATTTTTGTTCTGTTTGATTTTGTTTAAGATATTGAGGAGATTGGTCCACAGAGAAAAGATAAGAGAGTGGGAACAAAGACCTTGGAAGGTTAGAGGAGATAAAATTCCTAGCACACTACTTGTGGCTTTGGAGGGAGCAGGGAACTTTCTGGAGATGTACAAGAGAGTAGATAGATGTGGGAGAAGGGGGGGGAAAGGCAAGCCTAAGCCTTAGGATGAGGTGCCTAGGCCAACCTTAGGGACCTTCTGAGGGGAAACCTCTTTACGCTGCGTTCTCCGTGATTGTACCAAAAGTAGGTTCCCGAGTTCTTCACCCCTCCACTTAAGTCCTCTGACCCTATCTGGGGAGATATTTTCCAATTAAACAGTTTACTAGGAAATCCTGGCAGGGACCTTCAAGGCCCTCCCACCTCCGTCCGGACCAACTTTCATTTACCCTTTACCGTGGCTACGCCCCTCCCCTTCCCCAGGCCAAAGGGAACAGCGCTGCCATGGCCAAGCTGAGAGCCTGCTCCCTCCCGGAAGCCTCACGTCTGAGAAGGTCTTTTATGTCCCAGTGCTTTTGAAAAGCCTTTGTCCTTCCGGGGAACAGACATGCTGTCCATTTCCATTTCTGTCCTTTCTCCTCTTTCTCTTCAGTTCCACACCCCATCTGTCCTGAGTCTCCTTCAACTTATCACTAACTGCCCCCCCGGTCCAGCACGCTGTCCCATACTAATGTGTCACTTGTTCCCAAGGTGCAGGGCCAAAAGCAGCAGAGCTTCCTGGACCCAAGCAAATGTGTACTTTCAGGCATCCTGAGAGAGAGGCCCGGAAGTACTTTCAAAAAAAGTCTTTTGGGTGCCCCCTAGTGCCTTGCAGAGGAAAAACCATTTCCTCCCTGGCCGATCAGGCAGGATAAACTCGAGAAGTCTTCAGTTCCAGTCAGACTTGGACCCTTTTCTTCTCCCACCCAGCCATTCAGGATTCCCATATCATCATTTAGGGTTTATTTAGCCCAATGTGTCATTGCAGAGGACCCAGCAGACGGGGATAGTGTCCCCAAAACACCTCCGTGAGATCTGAGCATCACCTTCCCTGTTGGTAATGTCAGGATATTAGATTAGACCCAAAGCCCCTGGCTGCTCCAAGGATCTAGGCCAGTGATGGCGAACCTTTCAGAGCTTTCCATGATACAAACAACCCAAGGAGCACGGGTGCCATAGGTTCGCCACCACTGATCTGGGGCATTCACGGGTTGGATGTGGATGACCAGCCCCAGGGACAGTCCCTGAGCGTCCAGTGTGCTGAGCAGCTTAGCTAGGTGGGCCTGGACTGCTGGGCAGGTCCTGGGTCGGCTCACTGGAGGGCCCTCCACCTTTGTCCCCTCCCGGGAAGATGACTGTGGCATAAGTGACGGGCTGGGAGGACATCACAACCTTAGGAGGCAGAGGGGGTGGTGAGGTTGGAGGTGACACCAGCGCTTTCCCTGACGGGGGCTCGAATGCCAGGCTGGTGTGGGTCGTATTGTAGAAGGAGGGTGTCGAGTTGAGCCTCACGTCCACCAGCCCAGAGTCACCGGCAGGGTGGGCTGCCGAGGAAGGGTCCTGTGCAGAAGAGCGGGCAGATCAGGTGAGGGGAGGAGCCCTCCCTCTGCCCCAGCTCCCTCTGGTGGGAAGTGGCGTCCATACTGCATCAGCCTCTCGAATCCTAAGTCCACCAGTGAGCAAGCCCAAGCTTCTCCCCAGATCTGGGGAGGTTGAGGCCGAGTTTATGGCATTAGGAGAGGCTTTGGTTCTTGTCTGGGTCTCCATCCCTCACCACCCATCAGCCTGGAACTCTTGGGAGAGTGTGCATGGAGGGCTGGGACCTGCAGAGGCTTCTTACCGTGTCCGAGACTCTGCTGCTCTGGAAATGGCCCCGGACGTCAAGTCTGTGCCCTGCAGGGTCAGCAACAGCAGCACAGTCTACTTCCGGGGCGGTTCCAAGCTTGTCCCCTCACTCCCTTCTGGAGCCTCTGAAACCTCTTTCCAGCGGAGAGTTGCCCTCTCCATGCCCACCAAAGCCCCCACCCTCCATGTGCCTGTCCACCCTCGACCTGCCTGGACCTCGAGGATCCCCCCACCCTCCTCCAATCCCACTGCCGAATCCTCTCCACTTCCTGTCTGCCCCACTGAATCTGTCCCTCCCCTCCATCCCTCAGCCATGGGAATTCTGGGGTGTGAGAGCTTGACTAAATCCCCCCCAAAAATCCCTTTAGAGTGGTGCAGACCCAGACACCTGGCCTCATCTGCAAAACTGGTCCATCCTGGACCAGTAGAGCCGGGCTGGGACAGGCAGTACACAGCTCCGTACCTTTCCTTTTGGCCATCACAGCAGACAGCACCACAGCCACCACCAGCAGGCCCAGCAGGAGCACCACAGCCCAGGTCAAGGGGGTACTGCGGACAGAAGGGACAGGCAGGATTAGCCCTGAGGTGGGGCTGGGGGGCAGGCCCTTTCGGGGTGAGGAAATGCAGCAGAATAAGACAGGACGTCCCAGCTGAAATCCACAGGATGAAGGCCCCTTGCCAAGCTGGGAGTCTGTCTGCTGCCTGCCTGAGTGGTCAGAAGTTCCTAGGGGAGGAAGGAACCCTAAGCAACCCCCCCATTTCATTTAGTCTGGAGCTCAAAACAAGTAGCATCCTCACCACCCCCTTCTCCCAGCCACCAGACCCAGTCTTCCCCCACCTCTTATGCTGAGTGGGCCCCCAAGGGCTGGCACTGCCTTCAGGGTCCGAGAAGGGGTCCTCAGCCAGGGTGGCAATCCCAGAGGTCTCCTCCTCCTCCTCCTCCTCCTCCTTCCTCTGCTCTTTCTCCTCTCCCAGGCCAGGATCTGGGGCAGAAGGACACAGAGAGTGGAGTGTGCGCACTGTGGGCCTCCATGGCTGGTTGAGGTCCATGGAGGGAAAGATGGAGCCATGGAGCAGAGGCTCCAAGGAAAAGTGCAAAGAGGGCAAGGCTGGGCCAGGCCTTAGGGGCCCCCACTGTGGGTCCCAGCCCTGCACCGACTCCTTGGCCTCCAGCTGGTTGGAAGCAAACTGTTTCCTCTGCCCACCCCCATCCTCAAGACTTCCTTGCTCCTAGCTCTCTCGGGTCACAAGTGGGACTCCCCAACACCTGCAGCCCTGTGACCCCACCTCCAGACAGGTTGGCCCCATCCCAAGCTCTGCCCTCCTGTGCTGTGCACCAGCTGAGCTCCATGGTCCCTAGACCCAGCCTGGGACAAGGCTCTGTCACCCTCTATGCACTCCTGGTGGCAGGACCCGGGCTGGCTTCCTTGGGTCAGATACATCCTGGGTGCCCAGTCAGGCCTTCCAGGTACCCAAAGATGGGGGCCTTGCCGAGTTCTCGAGTGACTGGCCATTCCTATTCCCTGCCTGCACTAAAGTGGCCACTGCCATGTGTTGAGCGTGTCCCTGATATGTGGGCCAACATTCTCAACCCGAATTTCAGTGTAGAAACCATGTTGCTTTTATAGGTTTCATTCTCACAGCCCACATCGTTCCAGTATCTATTATTAAAACTTAAAAATTTAAATATTATTATTAGAAAACTACCCATCCTGCCACACACACCCTCCTGGTGCCAATGAGACACCTGAATGAGCCTCTCTACAGCCGAGGTCAGGGGAGCTATGAGCCACCCCTGAGGCCCTGGGGGCTCCTCCCACTGCAGCTGGGATGCCCTGCCCCTGCTCCCCGAGGGTCCTGTCCTATTGCAGGTTGCTTTCTAGGGAGCAAAAACCCTGGGGTGTCAACCTATAGTGCTGGGTGGGGGGGCCGAAGGGTAACAAGGGTGACCTAAGAGTGTGTTTAAAGTTTCAAAATGTAAGCACCCACTGGAGACCACAGGGATTCCAAGGACCCCCTCTTACTTAGTAAGTCCTCCCTCTTACTTAGGGGAAAAATAAGAGCAGGGAAAATGCCTTAGTTTTATTATTTGTGGACACAAATTACTTAAGGACAAAAAACACCAAAAAAATGGGTGGGGTGTCACTATCCATAAAAGGAAAGCAGCAGCAGTCTCCTCTTCAAGTGGCTGACATTTTCCTCCCAGAACAGTTTTTTTTTTTAATAGAACATTGTAGCTGGGTGTGGTGGCACACACCTGTAATCCCGGCACTCAGGAGGCAGAGGGAGGAGAATCACTGTGAGTTCGAGGCCAGCCTTGGCTGCATAGTAATGTCAAGGCCAGTCTGAACTGCATAGTGAGACCCTGTTCTAAAAAAAGCCAAAAATAATAATATTGTAGTTTTCTACAGTAGGCACCTACCACGAGTTATTAATTGAGATATAAATTCACTAAATTTTAAGTCATCCAATGTTGCAGGAATAAAAAACCAGAAAGTGTAGAAATTAACTTCAGATTATATGCTTGAATTCAGCTTTGTTTAAACATTTCTAAATTTAGCTGGGTGTGGTAGCCCATGCCTGTCATGCTATTGTGCGGGAGGCTGAGTCAGGAGGATTTCTGTGAGTTCCCGGCCAGCCTAGGTTCCATACTGAGTTCAAGGCCAGTGTGAACTACATAGTGAGCCCCTGTTTTTTTTTTAATTCTAAATTTTAAAAATATATAAAAAGGTAGCATCGAGTATGTAGGGAATGCTGGAAGGACAGGCTGGTGGGAGGGAAGGGCCTTATCTCAGCCTTCAGGACCAGTGTGGCTTCCGCTGCCTGCACAGCTGTCAAAGTGAATCTCCCCCACCCCCAGAAGCCTGTCCCTCAACTCCAGGAGCCCTGGCCCCGGGTGGGAGCAGGGAGCTGGGCCAACTCACCCTTAGGCAGCACCTCCAGGGCGAAGGTGTGCACCAAGTGGGACCCCGAGGTGCCCTCCACCAGGCAGCCGTAATGGCCCGTGTCCCCCTCCTGCAGGGTGACCATCTCTACCTGCAGCAAGCCCCCGCCCATGTCAGTGAGAAATGTGCGGCTGCTCCCCGGCTCGCTGCGGTCCACAGCCGAGGTCACCAGGGGCTGGCACCCCTCTGGTGAGAAGCGGCACCACACCTTCTGTGCCCGAATATCCTGCAGCCGGTAGTGGCACTGCAGCTGGATGGAGGCCCCCACGGGGACCCTCAGCACCTCCGGGTGGCTGTCAGCAGAGCCCTGACCTAGGGAAGGGAAAGGGTGCAGGGGAATTGCCCATCAAAGAGCTGGAGCTACCAGCAAAGCCACCCTCAGGCTGGCTGGGGACTCTGGGGCCTCCAGATGGGCAGGGAAGGAGGGGTGGCCGTCTGCACCTTACCTTCTAGTCCCAGGAGCAGCAGCAGGAGCAGGCAGGGGCCCATGTCTGGCAGGGAGGTGTCAGCCCAGGACTCGCCTGGACACTGACACAGCCTCGCCCCAAGGCAGGAAACATCTGACTCCCGTGGTCACGTGGGGCTCGCCAGGACCACAGGGTGGGAGGCGGGGGGGTGGACACCTCCCGGGTGATGATGGGTGCTCTTCCCATCCCTGGCTAGCTCCATGCTCGGGACTGCCCCAGGTAGTGTTGGGCAAGTTGGTCAGCAAGCCCAGGAGAGGGAGGAGGCCAGAGGAGGACGGGGTGGTCTTTGAGGCCTTTCAAACACTGAAGCTGAGGCTGCAGAGCTGGGAAGGGAAGTCCTTGACCCCAGGAGCCAGCCCTCTGCCAGCGCAGGCCCAGTGCCCAAGCCCTGCTTTGGTGGTGCCCCGCCCTGTCCTTCTTCCTGTCCTGCCTGGATACTGGACCCTTCCATAGCTGTTCATGTTCTTCAGTCCTGGGAAATGGATCCTTACTTTGATAGCTGCTTCTTCATATTCTTCCCCCATCCTCTGTTTCCCTGCAACATGTTAACTAGTTGAATATTTTCATATCTTTTCTCTCATTTTGCCATCTTTTTTTTTTTTTTGGTACCAGGGATTGAACTCAGGTCCTTGCGCTTGCAAGGCAGGCAGCAGAACCAATGAGCTACATCCCCGACCCTGTTTGTCCATTTTTTCTGCTTGCTGATTTCTTCATATTTTTCCTCTACCCTTTTTTTTCATTATTGTCTTTTAAATTTTTATTCTGTGACATTTTTAATGTACAAGATCTCTTTCTTGTTCTCCAGGCATTCTCTGTTTAGACCACACCACTTTTGTTTCTTTTTTTGGTACCGGGGATCGAACTCGGGCCCTTGCGCTTGAGCAGCAGGTGGCGAAACCACTGAGCTAAATCCCCGGCCCTGCACTGTTGTCTCTTGAGTGCCATTTCTCTGTTGGAGTCCGTTCTCCTGAGTCCCTCCCCTCCCCTCCTCTCTTCCCCCCTCCCTCTCCCCTTCTCCTGCAAGCCTCCTGATTGGTGTTCCTCTCCTGTGAGACAAAGCCACTGCCAGCACAGGAGACACTGGGCCTTCACTTGCATTCCCCTGGGGAATTCCATCTGACCACGGGCACCAGGGTGATAGCAGCCGTCAAAGCGACCACAGTGGCCTGTGTGGCTGGGAATCCCTCCCCACTGTCTCCTCTCTCCTTCCTCTGGCCCCCCTTCCTTCAGCCACAAGGAGTTGAGGGGAAACCGGAGCAGGGGATGAGGCAGCTGGTGGTGTGTTAGGCTGAGCATCCGGGGACATGGTGGGTGGGATGACCAACTGTCCCTGCCTGCCTGGGACAAGGGGCTTTCATGCTAAAGCTGGACAAGTCCTCTGCAAACCAGTCCTTTGATCTGGCCTGCAGATTTCTATCTGGTGTTCTTTAACTTGGGGCAAGGAAGTTATTTGCCCTTGAACAAGCCACCCAGGGGCATTGTGTGGCCTGCGGGACTGGACCCAGCATTTAGCTGAGCTCCTCAGATGAACCTGGTCCCGGCTGGGGCACAGGGGGCTCAGGCAGCACCCAGGAAGTGCCACGCTGCTGGGCTTCTTGAGGACATACTGTGCCCAGACACCTGGCCAGAGACTTCCACAAACATTTCTTTTAACCTCATGCGAACCCTGTGAAGTAGGCAAAGGGAAGTGTTGATTGATTGACTTTCATAAGCAAGGACACTGAGACCCAGAGGAGCAGGTGGCGAAACCACTGAGCTAAATCCCCGGCCCTGCACTGTTGTGGGCAGTTCCCTCACTGTTGTGAGGGGCGTTCCCTGGATGTCTTGCTGGGAGACAGAGGCGAAGCGAAAACCCAGGGACCCGGCACCTGGCAGGAGGCCCCGTGCTGAGCCTGTTCAGCCGCTCGCCCTCCGGAACAGTGCCTGGGCTCCCCCTTTCTCTCGCCCAGTGGGTTCTAGGAGCCACACTAGCTATCCCCTTGGTCCCCAAAGGCCCCTCCTGTCCTCCTGGCTCCCTCCCTCCCTTCCTCCCAGTGTTTCTCCAAGGGCACCTTCCAGCCACTGTTCAGAGGGCTTTGGCCCCGTCCCTTCTGCATGCCAGCGTCTCTGCCCTGGTTTATTCCATTTCTCCTTCAGCACTTTGCTCTCTGACATCCTTTCAGACTTGTTTATTGCATTTCTCGTCTGTCTGCCTCCCTGCTGGAACATGAACAGGACCCTTTCCCCATGTTCCTCTCCTTGGTGCAGGCCAGAGGGCCCCACTTATGAATGAATGAATGGGTAGGACTGAGCTAGAGGGAAGGATGCCTTGAGTTCCAGGTGAAATTTGGATTTCCAGGCTCTACTGGGGAGCTCAGGAGAGAGAGCCCTTTGCCCTTTTTGAGCCTCAGTTTGCCTCATGTACCATAAGAGGCTTGCAGTATACAGCTCTGATGTGCTGTGATCCTCACTATGACTCTGCCCCGGAAGGGAAGTCATCGATGAAAGCAAAGCTCTAGGGAGACAGAGGAGGAGTCAGCCCGAGTCAGATGGGGATGGAGCCAACATCCTCCAACAACCAAGGGAGAGAACAACACCGGGGTGCAGGGGGAGGCACCAGATGCTGATGATATCCAGAGAAGGGGCAGGACTTGGCGGTGGGATCTAGGGAGGGGGTGGAAGATGAAGATTCCCCAGATGAGAGCCTATGGGAAGGGAGGGCTGCAGTATCTTTCCCTCAGCCAAACTCCTGCTCCATGCCCTGAAGCAAAAGAGAAAACCTTTGTGAAGCACAAACTAGCCAGGAAAACCAGATCCGTCTTGGATTGGTTTGTGAGCATTTTAATGTCCAAAGCCTAGGCATTCACAGGCAACCACTCCTAACACACACACACACACACACACACTCCCTGGGGGAAGCAGGTGCAAGCAGAGTGGCCCCTTGCCACAGCAGAGCAGATCCAGGAGGCTCGGTGGCTGAGGGACAAGTGCAGGGCCAGGTGGCCCTGGGCTGGGGTTCCTTTCTCTCACAGGTCCCTCGGTCCTGCAACAGACCTAGCGCTCAGACCCGTCCAGCCCTCCAGGGCCCCGGCCCCAGCCCATTCACCTGGTGCACCTGTCAGGGTCTGGAGCTGGTGCCCTGGGTCGTGGCCTCCGTCCAGCTCCCTGGCCGGAAGTGCCCCCAGCTTCTGCCTGCGCCAGGCTACAGCCCAGAGGACCCCGGCAACGAGAAGCTTGCTGAGGAAGACACAGGCCAGGAGGAGGAGGATGGTAGTGGGTTGGAAGGGGTTCTCTCCCGGGAGGCTGCATGGAGGCAGAGAAGGCAGATGAAGGCAAGATGCTAGGGGTGGAGTCAGCCCTCGGGGAAGGGGTGGGGAGAAATGGGCTCCAGGCTCCGGCCCTGGGCACCCTCCCTGGAACGGGGCTCTGTGGGGCCTGGGGAGGCTGTGGTCACTGTAGACCAGGCTCTGCCTCAAACCTGCTAGGTGCCTTTGAACACACCATCTTTCTGGTTGGAGTGCATGCGTGCGTGTGTGTGTGTGTGTGTGTGTGTGTGTGTGTACTCAATGTTTGTGTGAATGATGTTGCCGGTTTGTGGGGCTGCACAAAGGCTGCCTATCCAGGGTCTTGGAGCAGCGCTCTATGCCACTGAATCCAGGGCCTGGCTGCGGCACTGCCCGAGGCAGGCTGCAGGGGTTTAAGCAAGGCCACACCCAGGCCCTTTCCTGCCCGCCAACACAGGAACTGCTGGTCCTAGGACCCCTTTCCCATCCTGCGCCAGGCTCTGCAGTTTCCAAGCCCAGCAGGACTCTGAGAAAAGGACCCTGTGGCACCTGGAGATGCTCTGCTCCACCTGGGCACCGCCAAAGGCCTCAGACTCCTCCTCGGGGCCCCAGACGTCTGCATCTTCCTGCCGCTCCTGGGAGTCTGTGGGAGACAGTGCAAGGTGCTGACGGCCCTCCTGCTGCCCAGTGAGCAGACCCTGATCTGGTTCTTAACCTCTAGAGGGATCAGACCCCTCACCCAGTGTTCTCAAGGCGGGGGGGGGGGGGGGGCGGTCCTGAAACAGTATCTCCTCGAATAACCAGCCTTGGCACAAGGTCTGCCAAGAGCAAATGCACAGCTTTGCAAACCATATAATCTGCCGAGCTGTTTACACCTCATGGATTCTGGTGGCTATGTTATTATTTGCCTGCCCCCCTCCGGGGAGTCGGCTGGGCCTTATACCCTGATAGGGCCGATAATCCCTGTCTCTTCCTTCCCAGCTCCTTAGGACAGTGAGGGAGGAGGGGTTTGTGCCCAGGGGTCTATTCCCTGCTCCCCAAGTCAGTCGCTCCTCTTGATCCTGTTCCCAGAACAAAAGGGCAGAGTGGGATGGGGGAGTCAGAAGGGATCTGCGACCAGGAGCTGCTCTCCTCCTCCTCAGGGAGCCCAGTGTGGGACCCGGGCCGGCCCTGTGCAAAGCTCCAGCCGGAAGTCTCGCCTCCTGAGTGAGGACCCCAGCCAGGCAAGGGCAGGAGGCTGTGTGGGGTGTCCTCTCCCCTGCTCCCGAGCACAGCAAGCGCTCCTCTCCAGGATGTCTTTCTGCACCGGGTTGGTGCTTCATTTGCTTGTGGCCCACTGGCCATTCAGATGAGAGGATAAATTCATCCGCTAGAGCCCAAGGGTTCAAAGAAGCAGGGCCAAGGCAGGCAATGTCTTCATGCAAATTAGAGGCAGACGCCCTTCCTGACATAGCCCTCCACCAGGGGCCACACCCTGGTTTGGGCTCTCTTGTGCAGTGAGCAATCTGTGCAACCATCCATGGGTCTTACGCTGTGGGTTTTCCCAGAGTTCCAAAGAGCCCAGAAGATGCTCCTGCACATAGGGACCCCAAATAAGAGGCCCAGTCCTAGGCTCACCTTCCAGCACCTCCACCAGCACCTTCTGGAGCGTATCAGCCTCGCCGCCGTGGAGAGCCTGGCACTGGTAGAGGCCAGCATCGTGAGCTTGGAGGTTCCGCAACGTCACCGTGAGGCTGCCACCCAGGGCATCATCCATGATGGCCGTGCTCCCATTCCGCCTCTGCAGGAAGGCCAGCAGCCACAGGCTGTGCGTGCTGACCACGCGCTGGCACTGGTCCTCCTCATGCGGCTGCCGGCACCAGGCCTTGCGGCGGCTCCAGTGCTTTGCAGAGTTGTAGGGGCAGGAGATCTGCAGGGACCGGCCTACCACGCCCTGGAACACTGTGGTGTTGTGGGCTCCGGACAGCTCTGGAGGGGAGACAGCTTTCATCGGTGTGCTAAGTATTTCTTGAGCACCTACTATGCGTCATGGACTGAATGGAGAAAAGCCCAGCCCAGCAGGAACTCAGGTGCTGGCACAGGCTGCAGAAGATGACCCGGCTCTGGGCCTGTCACTGGGAAATGATCTTGAGTCTGCTTGTCTCACTGCTGGACTTGCCAGGCAACTTTGGAGAAGCAACAGACCCTCTCTGAGCCTATTCCCAGAGGCCTCCCTGCAAAGTTCCATTGCACACACCTTCCCCTGTCACATGAGACCAGGACCTCTCCTGTCCCCTCTCCACCCTGAGAGCAGGGCCAGTGGCCCCCTCCCTGCCCCAGCCGTCCACAGTGGCACTGGTGCTGCATCCTCCTCCATCCTGACCTTCAGCCTCCAGCTTCCGTATTTCTGTGGCTTTGTTCCCCTTTCAGGAAGGACTTGTCTCGAGCTATTTTGGGGGAGACATGAAGCAGCTATTCTGGGGGTCCTCTGGGGAGGAGGGGCTGGCCTTGAGCTCCAGCCCACTGCCCGGGACAGGGGCTCTGAGGGGCCGTCCTGGCTTGGGCCCCACCGCCCCATGCCAGCCACAATTGTGACAGATGGGACTGAGGTGCTGAGGGCCTGTGCTGTGGAACTCGAGACCCTATGCATCCTCTCCAGGGGACCCAGCCAAAGCTGCAGGGCAGAGCTGTGGGGACAGTGCTCCCCAGCCCAGGCCTGCCACTGCGCTAGGCCAGCCAGAGCTGCCCAGCCGGGTGTGGTGTGGCACACCTGTAATCCCAGTACTCTGGGAGGCTGATTCAGGAGGATCAAAAGCTGGAGCCCAGCCTGGGTGACTTAGGGAGATCCTATCTCAAGGTGAGAGGAGGGGCCTGTCCCCACCACAGGCAGAAGGGGTTTGGGGTTGCCCTTGCCCCCTTTTCGTTGCCGGAGGCTTTCGGCCCCCTTCTTTTGTTGCGTTCCTTTCCCGTTTTCCCCTAAGATGCAGGTCATGGCCTGGGGTCTTTCTTCCTCCCTCCCTCTTGCCCACCCTGCCAACCCCCAGGATGCTCTTATGCTTCACTGAGTCATCATTTTAGGGGCTCTTATCAGTGCCACCTAAGCTTCCCCAGGCTGCATCAGGACTCCACCCCTCCCTGCAAAGCCAGGGTTCAGGACCCCCCACATCTGCACCCCTAACGGGTGTGGCCCCAGGGGTGCGACTGAGGGAGGTGGGCAGCAGGGAGTGGGCTGAGCAGAGCAGGGCCTCGGGCTGCAGCCTCCTTCTCCTGCGGCTGCACTCACCGCCTCCCCACAGCTGCCCACGAGCTCAGGAAAGAGAGGGAAGGAAGGCCCCAAGGGGACCTACCTGTGACAAAGAGCAGCAGGAGCAGCCGAAGAGGCTCCATGCCACCTCCCACCGTGGGCAGACACCGCAGGGCCTTGTGCAAGCGCTCGTCTTTCCCTGGAACTGCAGAAAGCAAGGGTCAGGCACACACGGCCCACAGGAACTCTGTGATTCAGGATGGGCGTGGGCGGGAGGAAGGGACCAGCCAGGGGCAGAGGGTGACAGTGCTGGAGAGGATGGCAGGCCTCCTTCGGAGTGGCTGGGCAGTGTGAGTCTCCCCCTGGGAGCCGGAAGCCTCGGCAGCCCCTTCCCAGCCTCCCCTGCGCGTGGGACTGTGTAATGAGAACAGAGTTGGACCAGATTTCCCAACTTCCTGTGTGGGCAACCACAGGCCCATGATGCCCCTGTGCCTCAGTTTCCATACTTGTAAGATGGGAATAGCGAGGACGCAGCACATGACTCGGATTCCTCCAAGCAAAAGTGCTTCCAAACAGGGCTTGTGGCACAGGAAGCACCCAGCAGGTACAGGTATTGCTGTTGTCCCAGTGCAAAGGGACAGGGAACACTGGGTGAGAGGGAGGCTTTCCAGGGTCCCCTGCTTGAGATCAGCCTCCTGTAAGCAGCAAGGTGTCCCCAAGGGTGGCATCCAGTTCTGTGAATCACAACACACTCCTGTTACCCTATGTAAGAACCACCATCACTGAGTCTGTCAACAAGCATTATAATACAGAACATTTCCCTCACCCCCCCAGTGTCCTCATCCCCTGTGTTAGCCAGTGTCTTCCTCTTTAGTCCAGCAACGGCCGGTCTTACATCTGTTCCTTCAGCTCCCTGCCCTCTCAAGCATGTCATCCTCGGGGAACCACACAGCATGAGCCCTTTCGAGCTCACCGCAATGCACACAGCACACACACAGCTGCCTTTCTGTCATTCCTCCCCATTTGTTGCAGAGCAGTACTTTATGATACCGTGGACCTCAGGTTCTTCATCCATTCAACAGCTGATGGACATATGGGTTGCTTTTAGTTTGGGGCAATAATGCAGAAAGTCCCAACTAACATATATATATATTTTTTTTCATAAGCATGTTTCATTTGCTTTGGCAAAGTCTTAGGAGTAGAGATGAGCTTGTCACATACATGTAATCCCAGCACACCAGAAGGCTGAGACAGGAGATCACAAGTTGGAGCTCAGTCTGGGAAACTTAGTAGCTTAGGGAGACTCTGTTTCAAAATAAAAATATGGTGGACCCTCGAGTTATAACCGGCGGCCAGACATACAAACAACTTGAGTTACAACCAGAATTTAACTCACAACCAAAGTCTTGGGTTATGATCTGAATGCTGGCCTCTTGTGCTTCCAGATGGTCTCAGAGACAGATTTAATCCTTAAAGACTTCTGGAAGGAACACGACAACATCCTTTCCTGTGTGGGGTTAGCTCAGAAATCCTGGGCCAGTGTCTCTCTAAGGACTCTGAGATCTGCCTGTGTACAGGAGAAAGACTTTGAAGGCTGTGTAGAGGAGCCTGAGCCTCCAATTGTCCAACTCTGAGTTACAACCAGCCCTCAGGAATGAAATGAGTTCATAAGTCAAGGGACCACAGTACAAAAGGGCTGAGGATATTGCTCAGTGTGAAGACCCTGAGTTTAATCCCTAGTACTGCAAATTAGTCAATAATGTATAATCAATAATCCATCCATACTAGGATTGGAGTGCTGGGTCAAATGGTTAGTGTAATTCCATAAGGCGGAACCACTGAGCTAAATCCCCAGCCCTAAGGACCAAACTGTTTTCCAAGAGGTTTTATTATTTTTGCATCCTTGTCAACATTTGGTAGGTTTTTTAAGCCTTTCCACTAGTTTAAGGTAATATCTCATCATGGCTTTGTGTTATCCCCGTGACTGTAACGATGTTAGGCGCCCTCTCAATATTATTGTCTGCAATCTTATTTCAGCAGCTATCAGTCCAAGTCTTTTGTCCATGTAATGTTACTAACAGTGAATTGTAAGACTCCTGTGTATGTTCTGGACCCCAGTCTTTTATCAATCATGTGATTTGCAAATACCTTCTTCTGATCTGTAATTGGTTTTCTCATTTCCTTAGCAGCTCTTTTCAAATGGGTAGATTTTAGTGCTAATGAGTCTAATTTATCGATTTTTCTTTTATGATTTGCACTCTTGGCATTCCACTGATGAATTTCTTCCACCTCCAAGTTGCAAAGGTCTTTTCCTGTTTCCCGTTAAAAGTCTTATTTTAGGTTTTACCTTTTGGTCTGTGATCCAATTTCTAGTTAATTTTTACACATGGGGCGAGATCTAATTTGTAGAATGTAGGGAACAGGGAAAGGGAACGTTACTAGAACCTCTGCATTAAGTCCTAGTCTCCTGTGAGCCATGACAGCACAAGGCAAATTAATTCATCTGTAGGCAGAAATGAGATTTAGAGAAGAAGCTGGGCTTTGGGTCTGATCAATGCTGCTCTGGGCAGCAAAGACAAAAGACCCCAAGCTTGCCGCACCTTTATTTGGTATATCGGGAGTAACAAATGTAGCAGATGACTCAGGGGGCTGTGATAACCCCCAGAACAATGAGAAACTATGTAGATGAAGATTTGGTTCCTCCCAGGATGTCTCCAGCTGGTATAATCCTGCCTTGGAGCATCACAGCATCACTGAATCATTGAGGTCTTAGCTATGACTAGAGGCAACAACAGAGTTATGTCGAGACACGCTGTAGCTGGTCTGTAGACAGGGAAAACTAGGCCCTAATCATGATTTAATTGTGAGATGATTTTTCCCTAAAATTATGTAGAATTGCTCCCAACAGTAGAATTTTTTGGGTTTTTTTCTTATTTTTGTTTTTTTACATGTGAACATTCAGTTGTGCCAGAATCATTTGCTGAGAAGGCTGTCTTTCTCCATTGAATTGCCTGAGTGTCTTTGTCAAAAATCAATTGATGTGTACGTAGGTCTAGTTCCTGACTGTCTGTGCAGTTCTATACTTCAGAACTTCCCCAACATCCCAGTGTCTTGGCTACTTACTGTAGTTTTACTATCAGGTATCAAAACCAGTAGTGGTTCTCCAAGGTAGTTTGCCTTGTCTAGCTCCTTTACTTGGCTATGTCAGTTTTAGGATCAGGTTGTTCATTTCCATCCCCCCACAAGATACACACACACGCACACACACACGCACACACACACACGGACTACATTGACTCTATGGCTCAGCTTGGAGAGAAATAAACATTTTGTTTCGATACTGAAGATCAAACTAGTAATGCTCTACTACTGAACTGAAAGGGAAATAAACTTCTCTGTAGCTAAAGCTGGACTTGCTAACAAGGAAAGATGACATCCCTCCACTACTTTTAACCTGCGTGGGGCTGCCTGGCTCCCTCAAACATCTCAGAGATTTTTCTTTGTTCTGCCTTCCCGCCATACGCAAATAAGATAGAACTCGGTGCACTGTGTTAACCAATGAACCTGCTGTATGTGAAATGCTGTAACCAATAAGGTTTCTGGGCCCATATGTAAATGAAGGATTGGAACTTGTAACCCCGCCCCTTCCCTACATGTATAACAACCCAGTTCTGGGTGGTTGGTATGGTCAGTCTCTTTGCAGAGAAATCTCCAACTAAAGCTGTACACCCTGCCTCCAAAACTTCTCGGTGTGTCATCCATTCTCGTGGACTACCTGCACTGAGCTGTAACACTAGAGCTGTATATACTGGCTGCACTCTGCCATTACAGAACTACATTTCTACCCCTTTTTATTTTTTTTTGTTTTGAGACAGGGTCTCACTAAGTTGCCCAGGCTGGGCTCAAACCCCTGTTCCCCAAGTAGCCAGGGTTACAGTTGTGTTCCACCAGGCCTGGCTAGACACCCTTACACAGTGGGCCTTCCAATCCATGAACACAACTTGATCTTTTAGTTATTTATTTCTTCGATGATTTCTCTGATAAATGTTTTCTAGTTTTTAGTATACAAATCCTGCACACACTCTGTTAAGTTTTTACCTATATATTTCATGATATTTTGTGCTATTTTAAGTGTTTCTAGCTTTCTGTATCACAGGCAGAAGCAGATTTCAGAAGTTCCATAAATCTTTTTCCTATTTTCTGGCCCACTTATGCTTTATTCTGGCTCCTTCTCTGCCTTTCCTTCCTACCCAAGGAAAAGCTCCTTTTCAGTCCTTCTCACCCCTGAGCAAAGGGCAGGCACCCAGAAACACTTGTCACATGCACACCGACTGTGGCCTCCTTGCAGCCTTGCTGACCTGTGCCCCTCATGTCTGAGCACGGGAACTTCTCCCATTACCCCCTCCCAAGCACAGGACCCTCCCTTTCCCTTTGCTGCATCTGAGTCCACACATTGCTCCAGCTCACAGCTGGCCACAGACACGCTTCACCTCTGTGGTCACATGTGCACCCCACTGCTCACTGATGCACGCTTCCTTCACCCACCAGCCACGTGCTAATCATGGTGCTGTGGACCTCGGGTCTCGGGGGACTCAATGTTCCCGGATGTGATGATGGTGGCATATGCCTGCCGTTGAACTTCCACTGAGCCCTAGCAGCTGCTGGGAAATTCTTTTCAGAATTTCTGGAGGTTCCCCAGTAAAACCCTACAGGAGTTGTACCCTATCATCACCCTCCTCAGCCACACACTCTCCCCATGTCCTTGTCCCCTGAAATCACTCAAGACATCAGAAGTGAGTATTGTCACCACCTTCAGATCTTCTGTCCGCACTCCGGCCAACCTGAGCAGCCAGGGAGCTCGGGAATCCTGTCAGGACCACGGCCAGCGCCCACACCGGCTGGAGCTGGGACAGTGGGACCTGAACCTCTGACGTGGGAACAGGCCTCTCTAGCCTGGGACGACTCAGACTCTACCGGGACACAGCACCAGGCCAGCCTGGGACATGGCGTGGAAAGGACGAGTGGTGGTGTCCACACTGACATTGGCTGGGGACACCACTCACAACCACTGCAGTCCACAGGTGTCGTTCCTAGGTGGCCACCTAAGACCCCCTTCCCAGTTCCCTCTTTGATTCTGCCTTGCTTGTGTTTGACCTCACTTTCCTGGATCCATACCCTGTCCTCAAATCCCGGCCTCTGGCTCTCTCTGATTCCTCTCAGTCTTCTCCCTTCTTCCCACCCCTCTCTGTATTTGTAGCTCAGTTTTCT